GTTTTCAAGGCGCCACGGCAAGGGTCGGTGACAGGGGGGCGCCTAGTCGCCTAAGCGGGCGTAGTGATTTAAAAGGTGTGCCTAGGCGCATAGGCGAGGCACATTTCAGGGTAGGCGCCTCACCCAGGTCCTAGGTGCAGCCTTTTCAAAAGGCACACGCCTGGTGCGCCTAGGCGTGCACCTGGTGCGCCTTGCGCCTATTGAAATGTCTTCTTAAAAAGCAATTAAAACTATAAAAGCATTATTTTTTGTGTGAGAACTAAGAATTTAAGACCTAACGTGGACTTGTTTGGGCTTGCCTCGAGGGGTGTGGCACAAAGGCGGCTTGTAGAATCAGGAATATAATATGTTTTACATTACATTAGCTACTTGAAGTAATGCAATTGAGAAAAAAAGAGAGTGTGGGATTTATATGCTTGAAAATGTTTTATATATTTGATTTTATTTTTAAATTCTCATTTGAATATGCTTTACATGTTATATTTATGTATTTTAATATTAGATAATATGTTTTTTAAAACATTTATTTTTAAATTAAAGTTTATATTTTTATTAATATTATGTTTAATAAACTACTTGGCGACTGGGCGAGGAGAGCCCCCAAGGGTGCCTTGTTGCCTAGGCGTCGCCTTGACAACTATTGGGGGGGGGGGGGCGATAAGTTCTTCGGTTATTGATTAGGAAAAGAGCATAAAATACATTGATACTTAAGAATACCAAGACATATGCTTAGATTCTCATCATGATTAGGTTTTCTGTCCTTGAAGAAAGGAAAATGTATTCATGACATTGCAACCCATGCAAATGGAATACATGGAATACTCAGGCTTTCCATGGGAACAAAATGAAGAAGTTCAGCATTTCCTCTGTTGATACTTTATGTAGTTGATCCTGAAGACTGATATAGTGTTTGACTGACCCTGAAGACTGATATAGTGTTTGACTGATCCTGAAGACTGACATGTATCGTATGATATGGTATGATACGTATTGATACTTTCAACCATGGTTAGAACAATCATTTTATGTGTTACTGGGCTCTATGATGCCCAACATGGCTGGATTAGGTATCTGTAATGGAATTTGCACTAAAATTGAATTACATGGTTCTCAACCATCCACTATTATAAGCTGCACTTATTTGGACCCTTGAGGCATTATCAATTTCTGGCTTGTCTTAAGGGGTAGGGATGATTAAGTGGTCTCTTAGTGGTCAGGTTTCCACTTTGATCTGCAGAGATGGGTTTCTTTTTGGTTCTGGATGTTAGTTTCTTGTTGTACATTGAAGTCTGAGTTTGTCTGTATTAATGAACACATTTTTTTTTGATAATTTTGTATTAATGGACAATGAATACAAAATTACTAATAAGAAAAGGAGGAACAAGACTAGGATCTTGCATAGATAGAACCAATATCTAAAGAAGCTCCTAGCCTTCCAATACAGCCCTGGGGGGTGTGGGGCACAGAAACACGGAACCTATGCTGGTAAAGATCTTCATACAGAGCTTCTAATCATATTCTCCTAAACTCTTAGCAGCTGAAAGGCTGAGGATCTGAAGCCTAAAATTCTTCTTTGCCCCAGGTGAATTAGCATCATAAGTAGGCTCTGAATAAGCAAGGACTGCTTCATCTATGCTTCCATCTTCTAGCCCATCTAATATTCAAATATTCAACAGTTCAGGTTGCAGGGGAGAGAGCATCCATTAAAGTTGAAGTCGATGTATCTCCACCACAGAGGGGGGAGGGGGAATCAGGAAGTTATTACAGGTCTATCAAGGATCCGATTTCTGTTGGAAAATCTAAAACTATGACTCTTGCTTTTTCTTGTTGAAGAATCAGGCTCTTTTGTTAGTTTCCTCCTTTCTGTGTTCTTAATGAATTACATTATGTGAAAAGGAAATGCTATAATGTTGTTGACTTGAAGTGCATTACACAGGGCTGGTTTTTCATTGAATTATTTGACAGTATCCAAGATTCCTATTTGCCTCTTGGGAAGGATCTATTTTTTTCCTTTTCTTGTCTTTTTCAATTATTGTAACTGAACATGCTGGATAGCAACTCTTTTGTCTTGTGCATCTCTTTTCTGAGACTTCATCATATTTTACTTATATAATACACAAGTAGATTCTTAACTTATCAAATACCCTCAGATTGTTGGTCTCAGACTCTCAGTCTACTTAAATTCTTTTACCAAGTCTATAAATTCATTAGGTGTCTCATAGTCCATCATGTTTCAATGTTTTATATCTTCTTTTGACTTATTTTTACTTGCCGATAATGGGTGTATTTTCAACAGGTCAGAGAGTGGAGTTATTTATGTGTTTATGTAAAACCTCCTAACACATGGGTTCATTCATTAGGATGTGGCACAGAAGATAATGTCATTCATGCAGCAACGCAAACGTGCAGTCTGCATTCTTTCAGCTTCTGGTTCAATTTCAAATGCATCTCTGCGTCAGCCTGCTACACTAGGGGGCAACGTGACATATGAGGTAAATTCCGTCAGTGTTTTTTATTTGCAGTGAGATTAAGTAGAGTGAACACATTATCTGCTAATGACTTGCAAAATTCTAGCTTGAGATTTCAACTTCTTGTTCTTTGTCTCTTTTGAATCTGCTTGTTTTTTGTTTTCATTTGTTTTTTTCCCTGTTTATATGCTTATGGAAGTCTGTTTAGGACATTCAACATCTTCAAAAGTAGTAACTAAAGGAGATGTTTGGATGGATTATGACTGAATTTTAAACTAATCAAGTTATTTTTCTCTACCCACCTACCCCAAAAGAGTCATTTTCCTATTTTTCATACTTTTAACTTTTTTAATTCTTTTTTCCTTTTTCATGGCATTTGGAACTTCGTCATTGGTGTCAGAAAATGAAAATCTAATATCACTTAAGAAACTATATTCCTATCCAGTGGTGACTGGTGAGGATGTCTGCAAAGGACATGCAAAATGACTAAGTTTTGAGTAGGTGAAATTACTTGAGTTCTACAAATTAATATGAAAATATAAGGCTAGGGTGGAGGAAGCCACTCCTATACAGTGAGGGTCCTGTGCAAATGGACCGGACCCAATCCGGTCTGAACCCATACAAACTACGCCCAATCTGATCCAATTGAAATGCAAATGGATTAGAAGTTACACAAAAAATATAAAATTGTAGAAAAATAGAACCTAGTGGACGAAATCAGAAAAGTGACATGTTAACCTAAACATTCCTTTCAAACATATCTTATCTACAAGGACCTACTCTGAATTCTGAAATGTGATTCAGACTACAAGACATCCCTGACATTTAGAGTACTCTAGCATGCTCTTGCCACCCTGAAATGGCATTCCTATTTGCTGCTTTTACATATCAAAGCATCTGATCTGCTAAGGTATAGTTGATCTTCCCAGGTTTGGCTTTTGTAAGATACCACTTAAGCTCATTTTCAAAGACTGCAGCATTGAAGAGGGATCTGCTCTTTATCTTCTCTATAACATGCCACTTAATTTGAAGAGAATATGTTTATCCTTTTGATTGAAAATAACCTTTTGGCTTCTGCTCCTCTCAACCTATCTCCATGTGCATCAGGTACATGTATGGTCACTGCTCGTTTTCTTTCGTGAATGAGGATATCTTGTTAGAGATCCAATTTGTTGGATTAAGCTTCATACATACTGAACTAATTAAAGAAAAGCTTTCAAGTAGAAAAAGAAGAAAATTGTTAGGATATCAAATTAACCACTACAACTTGGAAAGTTTTGATCAACCATTGTCACTCCTGAAGATAAATGCATTCAGATATTGTTTGCTTCTAATCATCTATTCGTTTCACAATCAGTTAAGAAAACACTTATTTGAACAAAGAAAATAACAGAGCCTGAATGATGCACACACATCGACATCACTATGCACCTTTCTAGAAGCATACCTGAATGAGTGAATAACAAAGCCTGCTAGAGAGAGAGAGGGAGAGAAAGGGAAAATCAAGCACTGAAGAGAGGGGTGCTGCCAGAGAGAGAACCCTATTTGGCTGTTCACTCAATTTTTTTTTTTTTTAATTCCATTAAATAAAAAGACAATACAAGAAGTGATAAGTTATCACCAAGAGAAGGAAAAACAAACTGAGACTATCACAAATCATCAGCATACTACAGAATTCTAGCAAAATAAAATCAGGACCCTAATCTTCCCCTTCAAACACTTTCTCCTTCTCATCATTGTCTTTATCCCACATCTCTCCCTGTTCACTCAACCACTGGAGCCTGGAGACTGGAGAGAACCCTATTCCACTCAATCGCTTGATCACTTTTCAAACGAGAGGACTTGGACTGTTGGACTCATCAGTCATCAGTTTTGTCTAAATTCCAGTCCACTGTTTGTATGGACCATTATGTTTGGACTGGTTCGACTCCATTCAATTCTTTGGACCATCCAGTCTGTCCAAAACACATTTGTTTTGAATGGAGTCCAATCCAAACCCGGTCCATTGGCACCCGTACTGAGAGCCAAGAGAAAGCATTTGCCACAGCTTTCATCTTCTTGCTCAGTCCATTGACATGGGCAATGGCATGTTATCCTGGTTTCAAACACATTATTTTGTTAGTTTACATTGTAAGTTCTAAGATTATGAAACTAATGGTTATAAAGTAGCTAGTAACCCTGTTCTCAGTACGAGCCAACTATATTTGACTTTGATACTAAATTAGGTTTGATTTGTGATTAAATAGCATGCTTTACATTTAGAATGGGACCTACCATCCTCGTGGTGAGTATTAGAAGTTTTGGGGCTAGGTTGTTTTTATTAATTCAGGAATCTATAGAAAACAACTTGCTTTTAGATTTTAGAGCGAGGACCACATTACTCTCCATGATTTTTTTATTATGAATTAATTTTTTGGCTCCTTTTTCTGAACCGAAGGCTTAGCTACATGTTTCAAGGACTCCTGTCTGAGGATTTTGTTTACGAATGATTAGATTTTTGTCACTGTTAGTTATCTATTGGATGATTACCCATCTTTACACTTGGTAATGCAAAAGAAGATAATTGAATACTTTATTTATCAAAAAAAGAGAAGGTAATTGAAATGTGGATCTACTTTCCTGTTCTCCGTTACACATTTAATTCCATCATCAGGGTATTAAAGTTTAATGCACTTTTGGATTACAGGGGCGTTTTGAGATCCTTTCTCTTAGTGGGTCTTTCTTGCATAGTGAGATTGAGGGAGCATCCTCAAGAACTGGTGGACTCAGTATATGTCTGTCTGGTACTGATGGTCGCATAGTTGGAGGGGGAGTAGGGGGCCCTCTAAAGGCTGCAGGCCCAGTACAGGTACTATTGCTTTGAGATGTATTTTTTGGTTCTATTAGGATAACACCCGCCTGCCCACTGGAAACTGGGAGAAAGGACAAAAATAATAAAATTAAGGTCACCACTCTATGCAGGTTATTGCTGGGTCCTTTGTGCTTGATGCCAAAAAAGATGCTAGTGCAGGTGTACAGATTGATGCTTCTGCTAGCAAATTGCCCTCCCCACTAGTTGGAGCAACAGTTTCAGGTATAGGCTTCAGGTCAGGACCAGATCCATCTGGAAGAATCACTTCTAGAGTAAATGATGATCATCAAAATATTGGTGTGGGTCATTTCATGCTACAGCCTCGAATGCATGTAATGCCATCTCGGTCAACTGATTGGAGGAGTGGCCCAGATGCTAGAGGAAATGCCAACATTGAATTAACAGGTGTGCATCCTCTGGACAGAGAGATTCTCTTGCTTGAGAAGTTGGGATAAATTTTACACTGATACATATTTGGCTATATTGAGTTTTGTTTGCAGGAAGAACAGATCATGGATCATGCCAATCTCCAGAAGATGGGGAAAACGAACATATTCCAGGGTGAAGACTGGGTTTTCATTGTTTAATGTTAACTGGATGGTAAATTTGTTGGAGAAAGAAGCAATTCATGATGGGCTCTTACTCTTACGAGAGCAATGGATGTACAACCCTGTATCATGTTTGATGGTGGCATAAAGTATGTACAGGATACTAACACTTTTCTCTTTTTCGCAGTTGATGCTTTTGTTGCTTCTTACATGGGTGGTGATTTATGCTCATTCTAAAATCCAATATGATGTAGCTTGTGCATTCTGTGCATCCGTTCATGGATGGGTTATGTATTGCTACTCTCTGTTCTTGGATTTTATTCTTAAGTAGTTATTGGATTTTCATTCTGTAAGTTTATACATATTTATAAGATGGCGGTGGCCGCATCTTCAACCTCTCTGTTGAATGGGTGAGCCTTCACTCCATGCGTTTTCCAGTTATCTGTGTGTGCGTGTGTCACATGGCAAATGTGTCTGAAAGTATATTTATGTTTCCATTTTTCCATTTCATCACCCAAGTGACAATGTTCAGGCTATTTTATATATATATATATATATATATATATATATATATATATTAATTTTCGCAATGTTTATGTTTATTATTGAAAGTTTGGATTTGGACAATGCCATGTTACCATTGGTTTCATTGAAGTTTTTGGACTTCCCTCAGCTGGTCGTTCGACTATTAGATAAATTAAAATTATGAACATAAAGTTAAATTAAAATTTTAATTTTAATTCATATGAGCCAACCTAGATGTATGGCCCGGGCAGACCTTAATATTGTTGATACCCTATAAAACCCAGCCCAGCCCGCCCTTGTCATTGATCATCCCTAATTGGAAGAGAGGTATTTTGGACCTTAGGAGGTTCTAATTTCCCTTGACCTTAGAATTCAATTAAAATGAGCATGGAAATGATTTGGAATGTTTTCGGGGCATTTTGGACAAAAAAATATAAGAAAATATAAGTTTCTAGGAGTCCAGAGATGTCTCCATTCTATTAAGAGTCAAGGTTCAAAATATTGATATGTACTGGCCCGTATCAGCTGATATGTATCGTGTTGATGGCTTCCTGATATGCCCCTCCAGAGGTTGTATCAGGTCAACCACTGGTTCAGAGGGTAACCGGGTCTTAACTTATCCCTTTGAACTGGTTTCGAAAAAAAAATGAAGTAAACCTAAAAAAAACTATCCATACAGTTAAGAGACGTCCCCAATTAGGATAATCTAGAGAGGAGCTCAGACTAATTAAGTGTTGATCCACGCAGTTCTTTGCGTTTTAAACATTTATTAACCCGTTTCTAAATGGTCCAAAAGACATTTAATGCCTTGTCCTTGCCTCTAATGGTCATATTTTGGATATTTTCTATAAAAGCCCATTTGAAAGTTTAAAATGGGCTTTTGAATTTGAATCATTGAAAATGAAAATGAAGAGAAAGAAGAGGAACAATTTTCCAAGGATTTTTTGTGAACTGGAGCAAAAAAGGTTTTAAAATCTCTCTAGAGCTCCTTTAAGCTCAAAGCAAGAATCAACTAGAAATATGAACTTTATTGAAAAATCTTTTGAAATCTAAAAAGGAAAATCAATAGGGAAATGTGTGGAAAATTTTGGTTCGAAATCTGAGTCACAAATGCTGAAATCTTTGAAAGAGCCTTGAAACCTAAGATTCTTGCATCCATTTCTAAATAGATTTGCACTGTCATGGTAATATCTACCCTAAAGGGATTTTATTTGTGCTCTTATTGTTGTATCAGGTCATCTAGAGCCATAATATGTGCTTAAACTGTAGAATCTACTATGATGTAAGATAGTGCGACCAACTCTATTAAATCTGGTCAGGATGGTGTAACTAGCACCTTATCAACTAGTTGGCTACGAGTTCTTGGCTGTAGGGCAGAGAAGTTGTGTAAGGGTTTTGTTAGTACCTGTGAAATTAAAATTAATTGTGTAAAGGTTTGATTAGTATCCATGAAATTAATTGATCAGTAATCAAGGTTTAATTTTTGCACCAGATTGGACATCTCAAACTTAAGCTAAAGACTTTGTTGAACCTTAAATAATTGTTGCAAACATTGTTTATGTGATTAAAGCTTGTTAATGTCATTGCTTTCATTGGTTAATACCTCTATGATAAAGTAAAACAACCAAGAGTTTGGAAAACCCAATTCACCCCCTCTTGGTTAAAATCGTCTGGGTGCACTTAAAGTCTGTTCTCGAGCCAAAGAGCCCAAGCGAAGAGGATATTGGTTAAAATCTCTTAGGTTTTGGCAAATTCCAAGAAAATCTGTAGAAAGAGGGTGGAATCTCAGTTGGAAAAAGGTTCAGGAGGGTGGCACTTTTGAAAGCACGAAAGATAAAAAGGCTAGAAAGGGGAAGAAAAGGACCGAAGAACCCTCAAATCAAACACTTTGGAGGAATTCCTTGGGGAGGGTTTAGGGGAGGAAGAACCTTCAGGCTTGCCATCTTTGGCTTCTCCACATCCGGTGTAAGAACAAGAGAAGGTTTCTTTAATTCTTTTTAGATATGTTTTGAAGCTTTGGATCTCTCTCTAGAGAGAAGAGGATAGAGTTTAATCCTTTGGTGGCTAAGATAGTAGGTTTAGTCTTTGTGGTAGGGAAGGAGTGGGCCCAGTAATACTTTTTGAAAGCAAAGAGAGAAGTGGGTTGTCAAGCCCCAAAACAAGCGATTGGTATGACTTAGGTGGCATTTTTTATAACACTTCTTGTTTGAGGTCTGAAAATTTTGTTTTCAGACCCCACTTCTTACAAAAATCATACGCATTTCAGACATGACAAAATGACGCTAAAGCCCTCACTATTGTCATCTATTTAATAATAATAATAATAATAATAATAATAATAATAATAATAATAATAATAATAATAATAATAATAATAATAAGTGCAAATTTCTTAAACTCCCTAACTTTTTTGACAATCAACAATCATAGTTAGCCATTAATGGAAATATGGAAAAGACTACTTCACCCTTTATTCTTTTTTAAAATTTCAAAAGATATTCAGACAAGTATTTGAAAGATTGACCTATTATCACCAGATAAGATGGAATAAACTACAATTACCGACTAAAATATTTTTAGCTAGTTTATCTTCTTTGTCTTTCATTAAGACATGGAAAGAGAAGAAAGAGGTTTTAGTATTTGATGCTACGCAATCCGGGTACTCCTAGTTGGTTGCTGATTAGCTCCTACCTAGCAACGAACGACACCTGAGAAGAAGACGGTGAAGAATTCTCGGGGGATTTGCCCAGTGGGAATACTCCGATGCTTAAGTTAGAACGTTGGGGAAAATAGTAAAGAGTGTAAAAAAGGCTAAGAGTGTAGGTTGCGCTAGATCACTAAGTTAGCTAGAGAGAAAGTTCGAGTAAGTTCAAGATAAAATCTCAGATGTTCGAGAGAGAGAGCCCTTCCCTTCAACTAGGGGGCTCTTATATAGGCGTTCTTGTCAAATCGGGCATAACCGCCACTGGGCTTCTGTCACATCCGTTATCTGCCAGGGCTGCGCAGGTAACTGTTGCAGGGTACTACCCAATCGGATGAGTGACACATCCCGGGAGGACAGGCACGCCACCATCTATCGAGAAACGTGGGTGCAGTCTGTTGAATTGGCAGGGACTACGCCGTCAGTCAGGTGACGTGGCGCAGTCAGACGGGTACAGTCTTGTCAGATAGAAGCTTCCTGAAAGCATCACGTCGCTAAGTTGCGAGCTACCTTGTAGCGAGCTATCCTATCGCGAGCTCCTTGGGGTACTTTGAGGTGACCCCTCTCAAGGTTGCCTTTGGGCAGTTTTTCTGCCTAAGTGTTGGAGCGAGCTGGTTATCCTAGCTCGTGAGCTGGGATAGTCTTGTCTTGGAGTATTCCCTTTCAGTAGCTCGGGGGACCTCGAGCTTGCGTTGTAGCGAGCTCCCCCTATAGCGAGCTATGGCGTAGCGAGCTGCCCTGTAGGCTTGTTACTTAGTCGCGGTCAGGCTGTGATGCTGAGCTGTTGCTCGTGCTGAGTCATGTCCACGTGTCATTGTCTCAAGGGGTCGGGTCAAATCATCCTCCATCAATTCCCCCCCACTCCTCGGGCTAAGTATGCCACCTTAGTGTGAGGAGTTCATGAAGTGTGACAGGTGGATTTAATCGGAGTTCAAACTTGATTGACTGCTCACATTAAATGTGTGCGCAGAAGTTAGGGGATTTCTGACTTTTCGAATGCAGAGAAACGCGCCAAAGCGGCTCTTAACTCCGGATGTCGTGCAACCATCATTACCTTAATCATGGGAGACGTGCAGCCAATCACATTTTGGTTTCAAAAGACGTGTGGTTAGCTTGACTGCGAACCGTCAGATCTGTCTCAATCTGGGGGCACAGTGGCTATAAATAGGATGGCCCCCAGGCCTCATTTTCTTTCACGCTAACTTTGCTTTGTCTTCGGATTTTGAGGTTGCGCATCCATCTAGTCTGCCCGAGCTCTTCTCCTGTTCACACCGTTTCATCTTTTCCAGTGAGTCTAATCATTCTGTTAATCATGTCTAGGTATTCATACCACGTTTATCCCCGGGACGGTGACCAGGATGATGCCCCCTCGAGCTCAGGGAGAGCTTGGGGGTAGGCTGCGGAGGCTCGGGAGGCCTCCGGCAAGATGGCTTCTACTTCTCGGGGCAGAGAGCCCGACAACTTCAGTCCCTCCTCTATGACGATGGAGAGACTTAGGTCTCTGGTTCACTACTTTAACCTTCCTGGGGACCTCATCTACAGTCTCCCTTCCGGTAACTTTCCCTGGGAGCATGGTCCTAATGACATAGTGATTTTCCACGAACAGCTCGAGGCAGACCTGCGTCTTCCTCTGCACCCTCTAATAGTGAAGGTGTTGAATCATTTCAACGTCACCATTGACTAGCTCCATCCCAACGCCATCCAGAATGTAGTTGGGACTATTTCTCTGTGCTATGAGTATTGTCTTCCCCTTGATCTTGATATCTTTTCTACCACTCTCTGCATCAAGAATGCTTCTCCCGGAGCGCCTCCGGAAAGGCGTTCCTACTACTTTTCTCCCCACCGCGGCTTCAAGCTCTTGCACAAGCTGCCGAACAGGGTCCCGACCTGGAAGCGAGATTATTTTGTGGCCTGTAACCCCGAGGGGTGGCCCTTCCCAACTTCTTGGAGGGCTGCCATCCAGGATTCTGGGGTTGAGTTGGACCCTGAAACTCGAAAAACGCTGCAGTCCTAGGCAGCAGTAGGCCTTCACTGTTCGGACTACTTGACCGAGGAAAAGCTCACGCAGGCTGGCCTCAGTCCGGGTAGGTTGAATTTTAGGTCGCGTAGTGCTTTGTAAAAATATAT